GCTTACAGGATTAAGGAGAAATGGAGCCACAGGGGAGTGAAAGCTTATCTATCACAGTTGCCTAACAATGAGACACTGCACTGTGGGATGAAGCCAGTGCTCTCATCCAATTAGGTGTTGTTTTGAGAAAAATAAGTCAAATTCTTCAACAAATTCCCTTCTTCAGAACAAGAACTGGATTCTAGACTTTCAACTTTTCACTCTTTCCATTTAATCCCAAATTAAGTCTGCACAACAAGAGGCAGAGCCTCTTATTTGCCTTGAACTTTTTCCTGATTAAGAGAGAAAGGAAATGCTGTCTTCACTAAGTACCACTCTACAACAGTGGCACAAACCTGACGTGGAAAGGTAAAGGCACTTGGAAATTAAATTAAATAGTAGAAACACGAACAACAAAAGCAAAAGATCACTCAAAGTGCATTTGTATATGAATGACATCCCAGAAGATGCTGTGCAAAATCAAGAGTTCAGTGGCTGCTGTCCTCTTAAAGAAACTTCTTTCCACCACAAGTCATACAGAGACCAATACTGGTTTTCTCATCTCCCCTGAGACTACTGAAGTGAAAAATAGTAAAACTACAATTCTGAGGGAACAAACTTTTAGTGCCCGAAGCTCTAGGAAGTTCACTAAGAATTTTGAAAATCTTCCTGTGAGGGAAGCAGTTAGAAACTGGTAATGGAAGCAAGAGCAGACCGTTAGTGGTGTGATAACTAAAAGAAGCAAGCAAAGTGCCAGTTTTTTGTACCAGTTCATTTGTGGGCCTTATCAGAGAAGCCTTCTATAGATCCTTATTCCAGTTTTCATTCTTCTATTTATTTGAGGTATGGATTATTGCACCAGGTGACTTGCAGTCTGAAGCAGATTGAGTCTAAGGAGTTTGGATACAGTTGGAAATTTGTTTTTCCAACAACTCTTACAAACAGAACTGCATTTCAGCGAGAATTTTAATAAGCTACCCTGAGACAAAGAAAATATAGGAAAAAGGAAATATATATAGGAGAAATCTAAAAAGCAGCAGGCAAAAATGAAGGTCAGATTGAACACACAATATAAGTCTGAAAGTAAGAACAGAAAAAACCCACATGATGGAACTACTGTGTTTTAGAAAAAAGCTGGGGGGCAGAAGACCATACATCAAAAGCCTCCCTCAGCCAACACAATAAATGATGAACCAAGATAGCTGTAACAGTCCAAAAAGCTAATGGACCAATGAAGCTAAATATATTTCTGTTTTATTCAAAGGCAATATTACAACAGCATTAGCAAACCTGTTCCTGTAGGGGGCTGAGAAGTAGAATTCCTTGTCAGTTACCTGAACCGAACAATGTGCTTGTTACTGCTGTGTTTTCAGAGAGTATTCCTTAAAATAAATTTGACACCATTATGGTAACTCTTCAACACAATCTTTGATACATAACAGCCTGTGTGTTATACTTTTTAAATGTAAAGCTACTTCCTATGCTAACACTCAAAAGTATCATGTTAGCGTTTAGAGATTTCTGCATACCTTTGTTTTCCTTTCTCGTCCATATTTTGATCTTGTATAAGGTCTCGACGTGTTCGCTCTTTGGAGGTAGCAACAACAGAAGATGGCAACGCTGGCTACAACAAAGAAAAGCAAACTACTTTGTTCATCACGTTGCAGGTAAGTTTCTTCCTGCACAGTTCCTCTTATCATATATTACCTTTTTAATATCATCATCTTCTGCGTCGCTTTCTTGGCGTGATTCTCTTCTTGTTCGACGTTCTCCACCCAGCCTGAGGAGGAAAAAGTGTTAGTGGCCATTAGAGAACAATGTCATTTAGGAGAGCATCTCTTCTAACAGGAGAAAAATACAAGTCAGCATATCTAGTCAGAAGAACCAACACTTCCAGGAAAAATCTCCCCACTGTTCCAACAACCAACACATAACATTTTACAGACAAATTCTACTATTTGTGAAAATCACTGAGACAAAATAGTTCAAATTTTAATACAACTTGCACAGTAAAGCAAAACACAAGACTCCACAACACTACCATATTTGAGATGGTAGAATACATGTGGAATTTATTTCTTGTTTTAAATGTTAGCGCTTTCCTTTTTGCTGACCCTCTAAAATGGCTACTGGTATAAAGGAATCACTAGACGGATTGAAATGCATTGAGGTAGAAAGGTTGGTATGATTTCTCAAATGGAAAATGCTATTTAAGCTACCTAGTCAAATACCTATAAAACGAGTGAGGAGAGGCAGGATTAGCATCTGAGAACATGGATGAACTAAGGTTTTAACAAAAAACAACCTAAAAAAGTTAATTTAAACAAAATAAAAATTAAAATAAATAATTTAAATAGAAGATATTTGGCTTTATGGCACAAAGCCAAATTTCATCTTTGTGGCACAGCACTTTCCTGCTTCCCAGTGTTCACTTTCCATTAACTCAAAAATTCCAAAGCAAGCCTTGCTTTAGCCAAGAACTACCATTGCATGTTAAGTGCCCACAGCACTTAAGCTCACTGTTATCAGTCGCATCTGATGAATTTGCATCCAGATGTGAAAACTCAAAATCTGAGTCCATTGTCACACTGCCTGCATTCAATGTATTGAAGAGATTTCAATTATAATTCAAGTTATGTTTACTGTAAACAAACATGGCTACTAAGCAGAACCAATATGGCAAATTGTACATCCAGTAAACCAGAAAATTCCATGTGTCCTTTTATTGCTATATCATTATATTAGTGCTACCATCTTTATATTGCTCTAAGGCATGAAAAAGATTTCATCATTTTGCTATCACGCAAATTAATTCCAACAAGTCTTGAACACGTAATCTCCAAAGAAGACAATGAAAGTCATCAGTTATTAACAGTTATTGATTTACTGTTACAAATTCTCATTCTGAAAAGCAAGTTCTCTGCATCAGTTTTTGCACCCACCTACTGGATGCACCTTCAAGATCCCTCTGTTTGGCTGGGGGTCCTCCTCCACTATCAGAGAATCCACGCCTAAAAAGAAAACACTTGTGATCTCAGAACATGTTAGGTTAACCCTAGAGCCACCTTAAGGCTGCACAATTCAACTGTATTTTGGCTTTGTGGTCATGATGCAAACAAAAGTTTTGCTCAGTTATATCACTGTTTACTGTTGCTACTGCAATAAAGTGTTCAAACGTACTGCTTGTGGACCAAGCTGTTCCAACATACTGCTTGTGGACCTTGAATTTCTGCACTTAACTGAGTAGCTACACTCAAACAAGGACCCCATTATGCTCAAATGATCATATCTGCAATTATATTAAAAATGTATTAAGCCTTAACCAGTAGCTTAAAACTGAACTTCAATGAAAAATCCAATACATGCTCCATTAAGAATTGCTGAATAAAAACTGTCCTTTTCATTCTATTTGGTGGAGTGGGGAGAGAAAAGAAGAAATAAGAAAGAGAAAGAAAAAGCCACAATGAAAGACTAGTGATTTTATCTAAACGTATTTTAAAATTCCTGCCCACTTAAACTCTTCCCATTTCTCCTGGAGCACCTACCAGTTTCTTAATTACCAAGAGATTGATCCTCACCGATTTCAAAGAGACAACGTCCCAGACACAACACAACTCCTCCCCTGAAATATGATGTTCCCCCCCCCTTACATTTAAGGCTAACAGCTGAAAGGTTTGGGGAAGGCCACCAGTTTAAACTTGTTGTAACTCAAAACGAAAAGGCTCTTTAAATTTAAACACCGAAGTCCTGTCGGGCAGCTCTGATGCTCACTGAAACAGCAGTACAGAGAGCAGCGGGGGCAAACGAGAAACACGCAACACCAAAGCGAAAGGGCAGGACCGCCAGGGAACGGGTGGGGAGAACCCGACCCCCCGTTCTGCGCTTCCTTACCTTAGCAGTAAGCTCCCGCGCCCTCTACCTCCACCAGGGCCTGTGAGGGCTAACAACCTGTTCTGGGGGGGCCTGCAAGAGACGGCGGCCGCTGTTAGTGATGCCCGCCCGGCCCGACGTGTCCGCGGCCGTGCCCCCTCGCCGCGGGCAGAGCTGCCGCCACGCCCGGTCCACAGAGGACGCGGGGCCCGCGGGCAGCTCCGCGCCGCCCGCGCCTCGGGCCCGCCGCGCACCCCCCGCCCGGCCTTCCTCCCTCCGCGGGACACCGGCGCGCCCGGCGCTTCTCGCCTCACCTCACATCATTGGGGTCCCTGCCTGTGAGCTTGCGAATGTTCTCGTCCACGTGCTTGAGGCTCTCCTTGGCTTTCTCCAGCTGCTCCTGCAGAGCGCGCACCGCCACCGCCATCCCGCCCGCCGCGCGGCCTGGCCGGGCCCCGCGCGAGGCACCGCTGGGAAAGGAAGGGAGGGAAACGGGCCCCGCCCACTCCGCGGCCGCGGGCCAGGCCGGCGCAGCCAATCGCGACTCGGTGGCGCCCTCTGAGCACCAGTCATCGGGCACGAGCGGAAAGGACACGCCCCGCGGCAAGGGATCTCCACAGGCGCTCACCAATCACAGGACCCAGAGGCTGACTGGCACCCCAGCCAACCAACTAGAGGAAGGCTCTGCGTGACAGCTCCACGAATCAGTGAAAGGGGCCGCCGGACTGACACACACAGCGCCAATGAGAACTCAGGGCGTCGTTTTCCTGTAGTCCAGTCAGAAAACCACTTCGCGGACGCTCGTTCCCGCCCACTCTGCCTTCCCTCTCTCAATGGGGCTGACCAGCCGGCACGCGCGCGGCTCGGGCGGGAGCCAATCACCGCTGCCCTATCAAAGGCCGCTGTGCGCGGCGAGCCAATAGGCGGGGCCGTTCCTGAGGCCTGGCCGGGGCTGAGGTCGCGCCTGCCCTCAGCTCCCGCCCTAGGGAGAGGCCCGGCCCGGCCCGGCCCGGCCCGCGGCGAGGAAACTCCGAACTAGGCGTTATTCCTGGCGCCCGGGACGGTGGCCAAGCTATAAACCGCGCAGTTCCCCGGCAGCAGCCGGCGTCGCTGCCGGTTTTCCGCGGCGGGCAGACGAAGGCACGGGCGCTGTCCTGGGGGCGGTGATACACCCCCGCCCCGCCCGGTGTCAGCAGTAGGGCGGGCGGGAGAAGCTCTGCAGGAGGAGGCACGTTTACCTCCGGTCCTGGGCCTAGCGCTGCCCGAGCCCGCGGGCTCTGCAGACCCATAACGCGAGAGCCCCGTTCGCAGCGGAGTTCTCCCCGGCGGGGAGAACCGGCTCGGCCGCGCTCCCTGGCCGCCCCGCCTCGGCCGGGAGCTCCCGCGGCGTCCGCGCCCGCCCGAAAGGGGCGGAGGCCCCGCACCGGCGATGGCGGACGATGCGCTGTTCCTGCTGCTGCACAGCGAGATGGTGGCGGGGCTGTACCGCGCCGCCGAGCAGGGCGAAGGGGTGAGTGGGGCTGGGGCCGTGCCGGGGCCTCCCGGCAGCCGCCGGGGCTGACGAGGTGGCGGCACGTTGTGTCTTGCAGGAGAATGGGCGCTGCACCACCAAGCTGGAGAGCATGGGCTTCCGCGTCGGACAGGGGCTCATCGAGAGGTGAGTCCCTCCGGCCCCCGGCATCTTCTATTTTGGCATCCCATTCTGGTGGGCACCTGTGTTTGAGTATCACAGGACAGTTTTGGAGTATGCATTTGCCTGGTGCTTCCCGTCATGAAAATCGAGTCAGGGTATACGGTTACTTTTAATACTTATAATCATCTTTAGTTTCACTTTGTGTAGACTTTAGCATGTTTCCTAGTTCTGGTACGTTTCATGATCTTATTTTCTTTCTGATTTACTTCTTAAACGTAATTTTATGTTTGGCTGCTACTCTGTTTCGTTTCTGCAAAGCACTCCCAGTCTTTGTAACTTGGCTACCGAGCTCATTTCCGCCTTCTTTGCTCGGGCCCTTTGGGGACCCGCGATGCATCTTCAGCGCCCTCGTTCCAGGGTCTTATGGAGACTCTTGGTCTTCTGAAGTGATGCTTTCATTCAACAAAGTGGTGCTGTTGTGCCAGATAAAGACCCTCAAGGAGGATAAAGGAGAGAAAACTGAAATAAGCAAGAGAGAGATCTCCCTTTTTGAAAAACAGGAACAAGTTTTACGTGTTTGTTCCTATGTGTTAGAGCTCTTTTACATATTTGAAGGACTCCTTCCAAGCAGTAGTATAGGTATGACTTTTATCTTCTATTTACACATTTAATTGAAGATAAAACTGGTGGAGTGCTTTGCATCTTTGTGTATGTCAGTCATCTTTAGTAATCATGGAACTAAAACAATTTATTCTGCTATCGTGTTGCAGATATTAACATAACACTGTGTTGCTCTTAAGTTAAAATACTTGATGAATGCAGAGTGATGCTAGAATGATGCTGTACAATGGTTGGAAAACTAATTTCTGTAACAGCCTCAAAAATAATGTTGCATAGTACCATTTTTAAAAGTTTATTTTCTGTTTAATTGGTGATGTGTGTACCATCATTATTGATACATGTCTCACTTATCTCTTAGGTTTACAAAAGATACTGCCAGGTTCAAGGATGAATTAGATATTATGAAGTTCATTTGCAAAGATTTTTGGACAACTGTATTCAAAAAACAAATAGATAACCTAAGGACTAATCATCAGGTACTAATGCTGTAGAATAAGATTTAACTTACAAAATCAATATGACTTTTGAGTTGCTATTTCATTTTTGGTTTTCTTGGTCTGGAATTAATTACCTGATAAGAAACCCAAAATGCTCTTATTTGTTTTGTTTAAAAAGCAGGGTTTTGTAATATTCATGTAGCTTCAGAATACAATGTAATGATTGCTACTGATGTCTTTATTGCCACTCTCTTTGAAAAGACTTAATGCTTTGAATTTCATACCCACTGTTGCAGAGTTACATAGAGGGCGGTAGTGGTTACAGTTGATTAACATTTATACAAGAACATTTTTATGTATCTCTAAATGTTAGTAGAAAAATAGTGAAGAAGTGATGTACTGTCTTAACATCTATTTAAATAGAATGGCTGCCTTGAAGTCATTTTTTTATTTTGAAGAATATTTACAGTTTTCAGCAGTTGAGACAGCTCACTCTAGTGAACATACTTGTATAAGAAACAGCTGAAAAAATTCTCAAATTTGCATGTTGGTGACATGGTACTGTATCCACGTCCTTGCCTATATCAACAGCTACAGTTCTTAAAGCAAGATCAAAATAATTTAAGGAGCCATTTTACTAGAGTAAAAAAGCTTTTTCCTATTGAAGACTTGGTTATCTTTTGACCATTTTCCTTTTGTGTCCAATTAGTAAGAAGAAGATTTGTACAAAGATTGTGCCAAATAAAGTAGGTTTTATTTTTCAGTGATTTGTTTATCAAGTAATAACTCTAACAGATAATAATTACCTTAGAAATATGTTTTTTTTTAATTCAAAGGAAGTTGCAGTATTGAGCTTAAGATCCTAATTGTATATACAACCTTCATTTAAGTTCAAGGGTTATGAAATTCCAAAGTAGCACAGTCATTAACAAAGAAATTAAAATGACAGGTGTAGATAAAGCTATACTATGTTCAGAATTTATTAAGTAGTTTATTTATTATTATATTTACTTATATTTTTATTATAATAATTTATTATTGTTACACAAAATTGTAATGTAGAAAACACCAGACTTTTAATTCTATTGTTTGGTGGCTGTGTTACCTGTACCGCTTTTAAGGAAGATAATTCCCACTGAATTTGAGAATAAGAATAGTGAATTGCATACCAGATGAAGATTGAGATTTGAATGTAAAAACCAGTATGCATTTGATATATGGCTAAAGACTTTCTGGTATGGAACTACTGTTTCTGAGCACCGGCAGGACTCTTCCAAGAAGAAATGTACATAAACGTTTTGTTGTAATGTACATAGGAGTTTTGTTGTAAACTCATAATTAAGTACCTTTTGGTTTGATATTCCTTGCAAGTATATAATTCAATTTGAACTTAAATCACATATGCCTTAATCTAAAATTTCATTTTTCAGCCTGAGAATAAAGATAAACGAAGACGATAAACAACATATATCTACAAATCAAATGTATTCACATAAAATGTTCATTCTAAGGTACTGCAAATTCAACTAAAAAAAAAAAACTTTTTTTTTTCTTTTTAAACAGGGTATTTATGTCCTCCAAGACAATAAATTTCGTCTCTTGACACAAATGTCTGCAGGAAAGCAGTATTTAGAACATGCACCGAAGGTACCCTTCAATTTTATATGTGAGGTCTACCGGTTTGATTTGAATTTCCTTGATCTATTAATAATAACTTTAAATTTTGTAATTAAATGGATACGAACTTTTCAAAAGGGCAGCTAAAGATAAGTTTTCAGAACCTGTGTACTTTTTAGAAATGCACCTTGTTTTGGAACAGTGGATTTGATTTATGGTGCAAGAAACACTCATGGTTGTTGAGAAACTTGCTGCTGTTATGTTTCAGTTATGTTGATGGTGGAAGCTTATCCGCCACTATCTGCTGCAGTCACACAAATTCTCTTTGGAAAGCATGTGCTTTCAGAAGCTTTTTTAAAACTTCCAAAACATATTTGGAAGATACTATTTGTTACTGAGAACAAGCTTCTGAGATGAGCTGATAGGAATGTTCAGAAAGCTCTTCCACCAGTTAAGAACAGTTCTGAGTGCAGATGCTGAGTTAGGGTAATAGTTCATGTAAGTAAAATCAATGCCTCTGCAGAACCTATTATAGAGGACTTTGGTTCAGGTGGATGTAAGAAATAGGACATTCAGTTCCATTTTATGGTTTCTTAATTCTTGATCATCTTATTGCTGGCTACTGTCCTTGGGATTTTTTTTTTTAGTGTTTGGTGAGATGTTTCTTCTGTTTTGCAACATATTTTAAGTATCTGCCGGCCTTTGTATTCTACGATGTGGCCTGTGCCAAAATGCTGTCTTGCACTGTTCCTCCTTAATTGACTTTAATGCCACTTGCTAATTTCAACCAAGTCTTAGGAATATTGTTCTAAGGATATTAAATTCCTAAAGGTTTAATGGAATTAGAAGCAAGTAACTCAGAATAGTGCCTCTAACAAGAGCAATCTGTGTTGTGAGCTCTCTCTACCAAATACTGGAGCTTTCATCCATTAGAGACCTGACAAGGTCTCTCAAGCACCATAATAAAACTTCCATAGCTTTCTATTGTCCAAGCATTAAGTCTTGTGCTTGAGTACTTAGTTTCAATCTTTATCAACAAGCTTCAGCCTTTATCCTTATCTAAAGAGCAACTTTGTATTTAGTATTTAGCTTTTACCTGTGGACTAATCAGAGGAGGCCTATCGAATTTGGGAATAAAGAGTATTGTAACAGCTGAAGTTTCATCAATGCCTGCATGTAAGTAGTTCTTGGAGTATTCAATTACTAGTTCACTTTATAACTTTCCTGGCTGATTTCATCACTGTATAAGCATTTATCAAGGTGGGATTAGTTTGAAGCTGCTGGGCTATAGAAATCCATATGAACTTCAGGATATGGCTTTCCACTAAATGCTTTGGTATTTAGAAAATACTGACAGAGGATAAACCTCCATCATGTTGAGTGGAAATCAAAACGAAAAAGTTGTATTTGCATTTGAAAGGATCAAATGCATAAGGATGTATGTCCAGAAAGCTATTTGAATAAGTGAAGATCTTTTTCTACAGGAGCCATTAAGAAAGTTAGTAAGTCAAGTCCATTGTAACTACCTAAGCTGCTTGATTAAAAATTTTCCACAGACTTTGCACAAATTCTAAATTTGGCTGACCTAACTTCTGTGATGTGGGAATGGATCAACTTACAGGGAAGAAGAAAAGAAATAAAAAGCTCTTCAGCTGGAGTTAAAATTTAAATGCTAAATTTAAATAATGGCACAATTGCTTACAATTAAACTGTAAGATTGGGATGTTCCTTACTATTTCTTTAAAAAAATTAATACAAGAAAATAGTTACTTGGAGAAATAACTCTAATGGTAATAATGTGATCTGACTTTGCTTTTTTTGCAGGTAAATTTCAGGTGATGATACAGAAGATGTAGAACACATTCAAATCTGGGTATCTACCTTAAAAATCCTTTGTGTATGGATTCAGTATCTTGGCTTAGTCTTGTATATAACTTGTAAATTATAGCAGTATGCAGCACAATTCCAAAATATGTAATAAATATTAATCGAAATAACTTAACACTATCCTTATGTCTTGGTATGAAATTTATTGTATTCCAAGGTATTAATGTCCATATGGTAAAAACTGTGTACTCAGAAGTTATCAGCAATATATTTCAATTACCAAGAGAGCACATCTGGAAGACCAGAGGCACAGTTTGAGAACAGAGTAAAAGCCTGACCAAGATGAAATTGGAATAAGAAACTAAAGTGTGTTGTGTCACCTAATGTGAACGCCCAACTGCTATCTTTCCCTGTTCACTCTGAACTGTGAGGCAGCAGAGATTGCCTTTGTATTTCTCTTACGGAGCCATTAGCACGTGTTGGAATGGGGCATGTGGCATGTAGGAATGTGGGTATGATGCAGTAGAAACAAGAACTTACTTCTCCATAGTTAAACAGTTTCTCCTACCTCCTTAAAATTAGAACCTTTTTTTTGTGTCAGAATGATTTTACACCTAAGGTTATCTGTACGGGCCAAGAAGGAAATTTGTTCTAGCTTGTTGTACATAAACTTGATATTAATGTACTTGCTTTTAATTGCTAGCTATGGATCACTTCTGTAATGAGTGTGTGCAGGAAGATGATTAGGCGTGAAAGAGAAGCTATAAAGACATCACCAAGACTCTTGAGGACACTGGGGTTTGCTAGATACTTGTTACAAGATTTGCATAACAATACATATCTTGCTTAGGTAAGCACGAAAATATCTTGTTAAAACTTCTAATGAATTTTGCTGTAAGACTTTTCTGTTGGCAGGTTCAGACTTTATACTTACTTTCAAATGCATCACAATAGAAACAGTGTTTATTCAGAAGCATGAGAATGCCTTGTGATAGTGATTAAGTTTCTGGTTTTGAGACCAGTAAATAACAGGCTAATTAGAAGAGCTCACATATTAAAATGGCACCTTTGATACACAACTGCCTTCTGTGTTGGGAGAAGTGTATGTTGTACAGTTGTGTGGTGGACAAGAACAGTGGAAACTGTTCTTCCGTAAGTTCTAGGAAAGGCCTGAAGCTTATAATGGATCAAGCCTTTTCTAGAAAGCTGTCACAAGCTGGCTAGCTAGAGACTATAAATATGATAACCAGGGGTTTATTATATTTGAGCTTAAGATGTGACCAAGTTCTGATATTTTCAGGTACTGTGGATGATAGTTCAGATTAGCTGTAGCTGAATAACTTAACAGTTCTTGGAAACATATAGAGCAGAAATTGAACCAGCAGAATGCTGTCCCACTTTTTATAGAACTAGCAGAGCTGAAAGTAATTACAGTAGTATGGTACTCAGTGGTGATTTGCAGTTTGATTGAAAACACTGGGTTCTTATACTGGTAGTTTAGAGGAAGGTGGTGGTTCTTGTTCACTTTTATAACTCAGATTTGTTTGGAGTTGTAGGAGTGGAGAGTTAGCTAACTTGTATTCTTGCATTACCTGGGTTATTCAGTTGCCAACTCATTCTGCTTTCAACATGCTGAAAATGTTACTATGAAGAGACTAGAAATAATTTGCGCTATATGCCTAATAGATGGACATTTCAATGTCATCATGTTTAGGCATCTGCAGTGGGGATCATCGTGGCATCATCATGGACAGAATCTGCTACTTGCATCTCCAGAATCTCTTACTTGCATTTCCAGAAATAACACTCTGGTAGTTATTGCAATTAATTTTGATTTTTCAATGACAGTTAAGACTACCACTCCAGATGCAAAAATGCCAATCATTCAAAGGCATTTTAACGATGTATCAATAATTGGTTATGGCTAATGATTATTTTTAATAGTGAGGGGAGGGACTTAAATTCCACAATACACAGAAAGCATATGTCATTTAATACTCTATATCGATTGGCTGCTATGAACTGAATTCATAGTTCCTTTAAAATGGATTTTTAATTGCTGAAGACAATTATAATCAGAGGGAGTTATGTACATACCAAGCAGATGCTGACCCTCTTGGCAAAGCACTCCATGTTAAATATATATGTAAATAATAGAGCTAATATATTTGTCAAGATAACCATACAGAAAATAAATTCTGTTAATAAATGCTTCTATTAAAAGCATTGAATACAGATGTGTAATTTTCACTGGTTTCTGCAACTGTTTACTAAAAATAGTATTACTACTCATGAAGTAGTAATATTTACATTTTACTAGAACAATTGTTTCAGTAACCTACTGGATATAGTTGAACTGCTTAGCAGTGCTTAAGCTCAGGCACCAAAACTTGAAAAAGTACCTTAAACCCTAGCTGTGTAAATTTCTATAGTAAGACTGCTGTTAAATAGTATAGACTGAGAAAAACCACAGTGTTTACGAACACTCTATAAAATCCTTTAATTTTATTAAAAAAAGTCCTCAATAGGTCTGTTAGAAAAAGAACAATCATTTGTAATGTAACCTCAGACTTTACCTAATAGCAGTGTTCATAGGATTACTCAAATGGTAGAAATTCCTAACCAAGAATGTAGTTTACAAAGACAGGAGCTTGAGAGATGATGCCAGACAGTTCATTTACCATTTTACGATGATGGTGATGATGGTATCGGAGACGTTGACAATTTCATGCTAAAGTTCAGCTTAAGGTACTCATAGCTGTCCCAAATGCATTAGGGTGAGGGTATTCTGAAGGAATTGTATGGTACTTCGGGTCTGAACAGTGCAGTGTCTTGCTGTTAACTCTGATAATGCTGTTTGTACTGTGGCAATGCAAAATACTGGATATTCTCAAAATGGCCTAGGAAGGCTCATCAGCCAGGTCACGTTGATCGAAGTACCTAATGGAAATAAGTGGAATATGGTAAAACACCCCTAATGCAACGTACTCCATACTTTGAGTTCTTAGATCCCTTGCTTTCTAGATCTTCTTTTAGTGTTTCTATCATAATTACAGCTTTGTGGTTCAGGTGGCTCATCTGAGGAAAGGAATAAGCTTACTTTATTCTTAGGTTTATCTTAAGTCCTTTTAGCTAAGTATATTTGCTATATTGGCCCAGGGTACTTGATTTTTAAAAGAATATAGGTTAGGACAAGTAATCACACATATGCTGGACATATGTTACTGTTTTAGGTGTATTTATGCTGGACATACATTACTGTTTTAGGTGTATAAGTTGCATTACCTACTAACTAAGCAGATTATCAAGTTCAGAGCTGATATTTGTTCTTCATTCTTGTTCTCCTGAAAAAGAGGTAAATATTAGAATAGTTCTTTTGTTATCTGTGTCAAATAGAAAAGCTGTTTCATGCCATGTTGTGTGTATTTGTGGTCTTCCCTTCATTCTCAAGCAAACTTAGGACATGAAAAGTTAATTACTAAGACTTCAAGAATTGAAAAATAATCCTCTTAATCTGCTAAATTCACCAAGTCCTTTGCACAATGTTATATTAAATCTTACCTCTATTACCCTGACTTCTGAACATCGTCTTGCCAGCTGTCGAATAAGGGAGTGAGCTTCAGGTAGCAAAGGTTTTTCTAGGCATGCCAACAGCGCATAAAGCCATCTACCCTGTGAGGATTCAAATAACAAAGTTTTAATTATAAGCATTTCCTTGAAGATTCAAGCTGTTATTGTTATACAGAGTAGGACTGGAGTGTAAGTCTCAAAACAAAATTGCATTTAAGTGCTACATGCTGTAATTGAATTTTAAAAGCCAAATTAGACGCTACACGGTAGAGAGTTTTGTGCCCCTAGATAAAGGAGTACTCCTGGGTTTCCTGGTATTTTTTGAATGCTGGCCAAAATATAAATTAATACAGCTTACAGTATTACCATTTGAGGGAAGGATTATTTTAGTAATATTTAAAGAGTATTACTTGGCTGTTATTTTTTAACTTCACAATCTGCGGAAAAACATTCCTGAAGAGTGAATCTATTAAGTCAGATCTTTGTGGAATTAGTGGTTAGATCTGCTTGAAGATTTCTACCACTGTGAAAACATGTCCTTTGCATTTTACTTCACAGAATTCTACTGCATTCTTACAAACATAATTTCTGCTACCAGTCTTTTTCATTTAATTACAGTGTCTAGTGGCTTTCATTGTGGGACTAAACTAAAAGTCAATGTACACATTCTCTGCAACATATTGCTTAAAAAGAAACAAGTGCTACAAAAAAGGACAGAACATGAAAGGCTTTTTAGTGACTCAAAAATAGTGAAACTGTGTTTAGTATCATGTAAGTAATTTTTTATGACTCTCTTGCTTTGTGGTACTGAAGGAGATGAGATGCATTCACCAAGGTGTTCTGTAGATATGGTGCCATTACACAGCTGGTCAGTCTAGGTGTGGCCAAAGTCTGTGCCAATGTACCCCGTCCATCAGGATTTCTTAGGTTTGGTTTATTACCACACTAATGCAGCTAAGCTTTCTGGTCTGTGCTGCACATGGAAAGATTAAATGTGCCTTTGCCAGCTCACTGTCATGCACCTCCAAACTAAAACGGAGGTGTTGGTAAATACAGTGTGCAGCCCCTGGCAACTTAAACTGATCAGAACCAAAGCTGCTGCTCTCTGACCCTCTACTCTCCCCAACACTGATAACTGTCAAGCCTCATGGCTTAAGTTAGTTTGAGGAGTGATAAAAAGGGGAGGGGTTTTGGCAATACTTGTTATGGTTTGGAGCTGGCTCCCTGCCAAGTCTCCAAACCTTACCACAAGGAGTCCCCCCCCACCCCAAACCAAGGGAGAAGAGGGGAAAAAAACCCAAAAGAACCGAAAACGAGAGAGACAAAGCAATATATATAAATATATTTACACTTATATTTACAGTTATGTACAGTTTAAATATATATACAATTTCACAGGGAAAAGGGAAAGGGGAAGGGAAGAACAAAAAAAACCAAAATAATATATATATATTAACCCGATCAGTAGCCCAAGGTCTATCAACTAAAAGAATTAACAAAGAATATCTTACTACTCTCCTTGGGACAATGGAGAGTCACGCTGGGGTGACTGCCAACAGCCTCTGCCTCCCAAGGTCGACAAGGCCTTACCAGGCCTCACTCTCCAAGCC